CTGCTCTTTGAAATCTTCTGTTCAGCTCTTTTATCTTGTTATTTCTTCCATTTGCTTTAGCTACTCTTTGCTCAAGGGCAAGTTTCAGAGTCTCTTCTGGCATCCATTTTGGTCTTTTCTTCTTTTCTCGTGTTTTTAATGACCTCTTGCTTTCTTCATGGATGATGCTCTTGATGTCATCCCACAATTCTTCTGGTTTTTGGCAGAAAGGGAGAGAGGCAGAGAGGGACACCCTGTGTGCTCAGGCAATTTCAGAATCCTCACTGCTCCCAAATGTTCACTCCCCACAAAGACAGCCTGCATCGGCACATGCTGTTCCATCTAGTCAAATGGCCTGCCATTCCAGCCACCTCTTGTCTTACTCCAATTTCAAAGCCAGCTCCAGGATTGCTTCATTCAAACAGTGCCTGCTGAGGACTACTGATGTGAGAGGCAGCTGGACCACCACCCCAACTCCACCCAGGAGGGGTTAGACACCCCTCCCTGAGTTCACCTGCACCTTGCCCTCTCACCTGGTATTTCACTATCTGGTATCTGCCTACTGCTCCCATTACAGAGGAAGTTCCTGGGACCCACATTGGCCATAGGATAGCATTACAATTTGTGGAATGACTGAGTGAATATGATCATTCTCTCCCCAACACTTCCCTCCTGCCCTGACCCATTTCTCTAGGCACAGATATCAGTAAGAAGCCTTTCTTTTCCTGGCACCCAGGGGCTGTGCCTTAGGACAGGGATCCGTGAGCTGAAGAATGGCCCATGCCCACACTCCCACCTCCAGCTAACAGGGAAGGCAGGGATAGTGGGAGGTCTTGAGGGCAGGCAAGGGGAAGGTCCACCTTGTAGTGATGTTTCCCCAGGCAAGCTGCTCTGGGCTTGCCTTGTCCCCTGGGCATCACCTGAAAGGAATGCGGGGCTGCCTGTAAGTGGCTGCCTTTGTCTCATTTCCTGTTTGCCGGAATGTCCTGAGCCGGGCTTCCCCAGCGGCCAGGAGGTCCGCCCGTCCCCAAGAAGCCAAGGCCAGCCAGGGGCCCTGGGGACAACCAGGGGACAACGACAGGCGGGGAGCCACAAGGAGGGGTGGCGGCAGCTGCCCACTCATCTCCCTTCACTGCTCCCACCCCACTGGAAAAACCCCAGTCCTAAACTGCTTGGCCGGGAGAAGCTGGAATTTTCTTCAAGGACCTTTGGAGGAAGTTACGAGGGAAGGAGGGTGTGCCCAGGTCTAGAGACTCCCACTCTGCCCAGCTGAACCACTTGGGGCAGCTCAGTCCTCCTTTTGCCTGTCCCTGGCCCCTGGAGTCTGAGCAAGTGCAGGCTTAGCAATTGCTTCAGTAACCTCCATCAGCCCCTCCCCCACTTTCTCTAATGTTGACCATGAACGTGTGTTATATAGAAAGTAAGGCAAATCTCAAGCAGCTCCTCCCCCAACCAAATTACTGTACTGGCGTCCCTATATAAAGAAATCCCGGTGTGTGTCCTGAAACAAGCCTTTCCTCTCTCTGCCAAGGGCAGGGGTCATTAGACAAACCTGAGTTTGCACCCCTGCTCTGTCTGTCCCACACTGGCTGTGTGTAATCTTGGACAGGTTACTTGAGCACTCAGAACCTGTTTTCCATCTTTAATTGAGGTAATAGTACAATGCTCCTTAGAAGGGAGAACGACCAGACATTGTCTCTCATACCATGGAGAAGGATATCATGCTTGATAAAATAGAAGGTCAAGGAGCTCTGGTGGCATAGTGCCTAAGGCATCAAAAACTGCTAATTAGAAGGTTGGTGGTTCAAACCCACCAGCCACTCCATGGAAGGAAGACTAGGCAATCTATTTCCGTAAAGCTTTTCCACCTCAGAAACCTAAAGGAGGTTGCTATAAGTCAGAATCAACTCAATGGCAGTGAGTTGTTTGTATTTTTGTTTTTAAATAGAGGGTCAGTGAAAAAAGGAAGACCTTCGACAAGATGGATTGACACAGAGACTTTGATGATTGGCATGGCATTGACTGTGAGGATGGCG